AAAAAAACACACACCACACCAGACAGCTTGGATTTTTTTTACTGCCAAAATTCTAAAAATAGTACAAAAATTTTTAAAAAAAAAGAAATTGCATAAGAAAAAATATAAAAAAATCAAATCTATTTTAAAAAAACATGCATGCAGAACTAAAACATAAAAAAAGGAATTTGCAGTTGTACAGTACCACTTGCTGAATACAGATATATTCATACAAAGAAATCAAATTTAGAAAATGTGGTCCAAAGCACATTTGGTAGAAGAAAACAAATTAAGGCAAGTCAGTCTTTTCCATTAAAAAAAAATATATAAAAAAAAAGTAGAACAATAAATAAGTAAACATATGTCTGCATTATAGGCATTGTACAATGTTTTAAATTGTAATCCACTTTAGCATTGTGCACGGTGAGTTTATACAATAAATGATTGCAGTACACAGTACTGGATTATCACACCTTTCCTATGTCAATCAAAACACGATAAGTAACACTTTCAAAACAATTTGAACAATAGCATTTGTAGTGACTGATATATAGGATATACAGTTGCAATCAAAGTTATTCAACCCTCATTGATAACCAGGTTTATCATCAAAATTTGCAGAATTTACAGGTTTGCAATGAACAAATCAAACAAAAGCAAAGAAATAGCTCAACACAATGAATGATTCAATGGATTCCCTAAATGCAACTAAAAATGCAACTTACAAAGACTTCTCCAGCCTTAAAATTATTCAACCCCCCTGAATGGAATCCCTCAAAACAGCACAAATATGCAAAACAGTTATCTCAAGCACACCTGATACAACTCATGAAGGGCTTCATTAGTTGCACCACGTGTGCTTGAGCAGGAACACTTGAGATACCTGAACTGTCTAGGGGTTTGTTGAGTGTCACCTTTAACTGCATGTTAGAAATATGACTAAAATAATGGTTCACAAAGTTAAGAGAAGAGATTAAGAGATCATCGCCCTTCACAAACAAGGAACGGGATGCAAAAAGATAGACATCTTTGGAAGCATAGTTAGCAAGTTCAAAGATGAAGAAACAATGGTTACACTACCCAGATGGGGCATACAGCCATTGATGTCTTCCTCTGTAACCAGATTTCTCAGAGGGCAGGTTGTAAAAAACCTGTGAGTGACTGCAAAAGACCTGCAGCAAGACTTGCTGACAACAACCACTGAGATATCAGTGAGCTCAGTACGGTGCGTACTAAAACGCAGAAGGTTTTCCATGTCAGAACTCCAAGACATACACCACTATTTAAACAAAAGCACTGGAAAAGTCAGCTCCAATTTGCTCAAAATCATATAAAGAAGCCACAGAATTTTAAGGATTCTGTTCTGTGGAGTGATAAAATAAAACGAACTTTTCAGCTCAATGGATCAGAGGTATGTCAGGAAGAAGAAGAATGAAGCATAAATTTTGCATCCTCTGGCACTGGAAACCTGCAGCGTGTAAAAGGCAAGATGGATTTATTGAAGTATCAGGAAATCCTAGGAGAAAACGTCATGCCATCAGTGAGGAAGCTGAAACATAAGCGTCATTGGACCTTCCAACAAAAAAAAAAGTCTTGGAAAATTCTACAGTGGCCAAGTCACCTGACTTGAAACCGAATTTCTGGTGGGATATTAAGGCGGCAGATGCAGCACGCAATCCCAAGAATATAATCAAACTGGAGGCCATTGCTCATGAACAATGGGCTAAGATTACTCAAGAATGCGGCCAGAAGCTGGTTTCTGGCTATGCATCTTGTTTGCAGCAGGTCATAACAACAAAAAGCTGCTCTACTAGGTACAAAATATGCTTGCCATGAAGGGGTTGAATAATTTGAGATTGATGAAGTTGCATTTTCAGTTGAATTTGAGCTATTTTAATTGCTTTTGTTTGATGTGTTCATTGCAAACAGCTGAAAGTCTGGCGATTGAATAATTTTGATTACAACAGTATATATAAATAAACACTATGAGAAATGCATGTTACGTGGCACACAATAAATTGATCCCAATGTAATTGATCCCAGTGATTTGCTCCACTTGTCCCAGTGACTATATTGATAAGTGGTTATTACTGTAAGTAGAGAAACACTTCCATTTAAGAATACCATGTCTTATATGTTATACTTTATACTAAGACAATACTTTAGGGCTATTTAGCATTGCAGTTAGGTTTGGTGAATGGAACACAATTTCTCCACAAACCAGTGTAACATTCAGAACACATTCTAGCCAAATATTCCTATTGTAAACTTTTAAGTCAACAAGGACTCCTAATATTAACACTTGCAATATTAAACCGTTCTCGACATACCCCCTGGGTACATGTACCACAGGAAGAGAAGCACAGTCGTATACAACACAGCACACATCAGGCTATTTACAGATTTCCTTCATCAATACTTTGCAGTATGAGCCTCTGCTTTGGGATAACATGATTTCGGCTGCCTTTGTTTATATTGCTGTTCCCTGGTGTACTTCGTAGTACAGAGGAAGCTTGCATTGCGTCTTCCCCAAACAAACTTATTTTAGCATCCATTTCAATGGCTTTGGCTAAACTAGATGCAAAGGATTCCAAAGTGGTATCACATGCCCCGATTTCAGCTGGCACTGGGTGAACATCTGTAGGGGAGGAGAAAAAAAAAATCAATAAGTAAAAACAATGAAATCTTTCACATCACAATTAAAATCAACTTGCAACCTGGCTAGAACAAGATATACCTGTACATGAGATTTAAAAGCTTGCTAAAAGAATGCTCCAAATACATAAAGCAGTTAAGTATGTCTGACATTTTTTGACAGTTTATAGAAGTGTCAATTTCAAAAGAAATTACAATTGTTTTATAAATCTGTTCAATTGAAATCAGAACTTTTGTAACAGCACCATAACACCTTTCCAACTATAAAGTAGACAGCCAGAGTCACCCTCCCACCCCCTTTTCCGTTAGCTCCACAGAGCTAAAGGAAGTGGCAGGTGAGCTGGGCTAACGTGTGCCTGCCTTCACGTCTTAGAAAGCTGTGATCACGTGTGTACACACAGCTCCAGTACAAAGGATTCTTAATGAGAATCCTCTGATTGATCAATGGCGATAAAGGATAGAGTTTGCAAAAGATAAACAAAGCAGGTGTGCAGCTTTTGCAAGCTGTTTATATATAAAATGCACATTTTCTTAGGGGGTGTATGTATTAAATAGTGATAAAATAAAAATTGAAGGGAGTATTTACTTAAAATAGAAGCTGAACTACATGATTTCCGCACTTAATTTGCCATATGTCAATTTTTTTTAAAGTATATCCATTAAGTACAAAATATATTTGCAACATATTTTTCCGCCTTCTTTTAAACACTGACATACTTAACTATTTCAAAAGGTAACAACTTCAAAAATAATTGAGTGGCTAAAGGCTACAGGAAGTATATTAATCAATTCTATTAGTAGCCAATAGATACGTCACTGGCTGGGATTAACAAACTCCCTTGGTCCATAGACATGTGATGTACCCATAAAACCTAGCTGAGCAGCATACTGCTATGTAATCATGTGTAATAAATAAGCAATATTTTCATATCATAATTTAAAGAAATGTAGAAGTGTGTTAAAGGGACACTACAGTCGCCAGAACAACTACAGCTTAATGTAATTGTTCTGGTGTGTATAGCCTGTCCCTGCAGGCTTTTTAATGTAAACATTGCTTTTTCAGAGAAGATGCAGTGTTTACATTACTGACTAGAACAGGGGTCAGCAACCTATGGTACGTGGGTCATGCGTGAGGCTCTGGCCCAACAGGAGTCCCAGTAGGACTTCAGATATCTTCTAATTCAAACTGGGCAGTGATTCCAGGTGGTAAGAGACAATCCTCAATTTACACATTACAGCACATATAGGAAGTGATCTCAAATCACTTTCTCCCAGCATTTGTTAACAGGAATCCGCACTGGAGAAGAGCAGCTCACAGCAAATATTGAGCTCCTGCCCTTGACCTGACCAGCCCAGTCCAGACTGGATCCCGGGTAAGCCAACCACACTGCTAGATATACACAGAGCTTCAGAAGAAACCTGCAACTCATACAAATAATCCTCACACACACACCACTGACAATCCATACACACACACACACACACACAACCCAAAAGCAGCCTGTCACATGCAATACCACACATACACACACCACCAAACACACTATATGACATATCATCCAGACACACAAGCAACCGCCATACAAAATCAACATTCATAGGTATCATACACAATACCACAAACCAGTCATGAACATATACAATGTAACAGTCCACATACAATAACACAAGCGGAATACAGCAACATACATACCTCGATTTAACACAAACACAATTTGGCAACATACACACTTGGATTTTAAAAAATAGGACCGGCACACCAAGGGACTTTGGGATCTTGTTTTGGCACAGCACTAAAAAAAGGTTGCCTACCGCTGGTCTAGGAACACCTCTAGTGGCAGTCACGGCCAGACGACCATAGAGGTGCTTCCTGTGTCATGACGTTCAGCGTCGCTCTGCATGGAGCCGCTGAACGCTCCCCATAGACATGCATTGATTCAAAGCATCTCTATTAGGAGATATTGATTGGTGCAGCGCAGAATTTTGTCACAGATGCGCAATAACCTCCCAAAGCTTTCCTATGGAAAAGCATTTGATTAGCTGGGATTGGCAATTTTGGTAATCTCAGCCATGGAGTCAGAGTAGGGGGATAACCAGCCACAGCAAGACCGGAATAGCAATGAAATAAATGCAAGTTTTATACTTTTTTTTTAAAGCGGCAAGGGGAAGCCAGCCACTAAAATGTGTTTTTAACACTATAGTGTCAAGAATACAGGTTTGTATTCCTGACACTGCAGTGTTCCTTTAAGTGTTTTTTTTTCTAATTCCAGTAATTGCATGTGACCGAGCTAGAATTTTCCTATTTTATTTAATGCTTTTACTGGTTCAAGGTACAAAAAGTCAGTCGTATCCTTTTTTGTTCACACCGATCTCTAAAATTGTAACATTTAATTGCGTACCACATTTCTGTTCCACCTCATCTTCAAATGTTACAGAACTTTTTCTTCTAGAGTAAATAGATCTAGTGTGCTGGGTACTGTCCGAGCTGTAGTCATCCAGCAACATAACATCTGTACCTAGAAAACAAAAAAAAGAAAAACATATTTAACCAGCTTGGAAAAAAACAAACAAAACAAAACAAAAGTCAACTATAGCTCTACAAATTCTTTAACTCAATAACTAAGTGGATTAGTTCATTTTGGATATGATCTATAAACAACAGATTGTTTTGACGACAGACCCGCACTGGTACTTAAAAGGATAAGCAATAAAAATATATGGATAGTATGGTAAAATATGGTTAACACAAACGAATTATAAAATCTTATGTTATTGGAGATTTGACAAAGTTAAATGTAAAAAAAAAAATATGCCACGTGTTGTGGACATAAAATATTAATCTAATTTATGTTAGTAAAATGTCTATTTACTTAGTATAACTTCAATCAGTATTATCCAGCTTTATATGTGATTTACCTAAAATGGCCACTAGGGAGTTTCCCCTCCAACCTCGACTAACACCCTCATTAACAAGATGGCGCTGGAATCTGGGGGAGACCTCCACGATGCTAGTGACATCACCCTCAGTAGGTAGAGCACTAAATGAACCACTTAACACCTAACCAATTATTGATGTATTATTCCATGTTATCTCTGACAATGCTTATGATGTAATTTTGCTTTATAAGGGACATGCCGTCCCCTCTGAATAAACTTTCCTCAAGTTTTTCATTAACCTGAAACCTGTGTCTGGTGTGAATTACTTTAGGAGCGTGCACGCACTATTTCTTTAATTTGGCCGGGTCAGATACACAAAATAATCAATTGATTGAATTGATATCCACTTCACCATGTTCTTAAGCCATCTGGTTAGATCCAGAAAGCTTGCATGGAACTCAAAAGGGTAAAAGACAAAATAATGTGATTTGATATAAGGTAAGGGAGATAATTCACTAAACAGTGATGTGTGGTAGGCTGACTACAGGCTTCCAACTTTTCTGGAACACAGAAAACTCCACCAACATGTTTAGTTTACGTTCTGCAAAACTGGCAGTCAACTCAACACAAATTTATTGGACATTGCGCTGTTTAAGGCTAAATGCACAACTACATAATCTGGCTCTTCAAAACAGTCTGACAAGTCAGAATGCTTTAGTCTGTGGGTGCAAATTATACAGGGTCCCCATTTTAATGCCAAACTGTATTACTCTATGATCTATTATGACAGGCATTTATATAGCGACAACATATCCCACAATGCTTTACAATATGATAAAGGGGGAACTCAATAATAAATAAGTACCCTCTTTGTTTTGTATTATAACTTTAGGAGATAACAGGCAATATCTGAAGAAATTAAAAATCTGAATTCTAAACAAAGAAATAAATGACATTAGAAATTTCAGATCCCTGGTAGGTGATAGGTGTCCCCACCAGCCATCTAGTTTCAGGCTACGCAAACTATTCACTACTGAGCTTCCTCACGACGATTACTAAAACAGTAAATGCTTGTTTTAGAATGTTACCTACAATTGCATAGTGTGCAACAGTTTAATTGTCATTAGACAGACAGAATATCATTCTAGACACACAAAGAAAATCCCCTGCACTTTTTTTTTTGCTCCATTTAAATTTTCCTTTTTTGTTTTTAGTTAAAAGGAAAACACTTTTACTTTACTTTTATTAAATGTTATTTACTTTTCCATTGTATATAATCTCTGAAGCTTTTCATTTTTCTTCCATTAGCAGAATAAAGAGACACATTGTCAGGGTAAAGTGACAGATGAGAGCTTGAGGCAAACACAGCCTCCTGTCAAAAGATCAAAATATGTAAATAGTCAGAATCCCAGAATTTAAACAGAATTGATCCATGTATTTCTATATTTACTTTGTCTAGAGAGGTAGTTTGAAAGATAAATGCTATTCCTTTCTATAGGGAAACACTATGCTAGGAATTATATGCCTGTAAAGAGAGACTTGTCAATGTCCAAGGGATGTCTGGTGCATGTGTAACCCTTTCCCAGTGTAAGGGCATGCCATCCTACAAAAAGAGGGCCTTATGCCATTAGGGTCTAGCTGCAGGACAAATACTCACCCTCCGCGCCGGATCAGATTAGGTATTTTGCCCCTAATCAAGCTGAAGAGCTTTTATAGTGCTGATGATTTCAGCCAAATGAGTGCAACACGACAGGACTCAATGTAGCGTGCAGACATTCGTGCTTAGTAATAGGGAAAGGGAGCACACCTGCAAATTCCAGGTAAGAAGACGTCTAACCGTTCAAAAAAAATATAGCTTGACTTCTTTCACTAGGTGTGGGGAGGCCTGGGCACGTCTGACACCATAACCACTAGAGATAACTGTTCCTTTATTATATTTTCTGTAACTAGAGATACAAGATATTTTATGGTTTGGTCATTTTCCCATGAAATTTAAATAGCGTGTTCATACCTGTGTGGTCTCTCTACATACATTTTAACAGCCGTAGATCATTGGGTGTCAAGAACTGAACTAAACATTATCAAACAAAGAAAATTACCTGAATCGTTTGAGTAGCTGAAGGCTGTGTTTGTTGTAGTACTTTGGTGGTCAGAATCTTTTCCAACTGTCATAAGACTAGTGAGATGAGGAGGCAATCCGAGATCTAATGGGGGAGAAAGGGGGAAGTTCAATCCATAATTAACAATACAAACAATACTTAGTTTATATAGATTTGCAATATGATAAAGGCAAACGGGGTGGAAAAAACATTTGAAAATTGGGTAACTTGAGGAAAGCAGAACTGTATGAAGTTTACATTTCTGATCTCTAGCACAGACTATGTAAAATAAAAATGTTATGCCTTCGTGGATCAGTGTACCAAAAAGTGGGGCAATTACCATGTAAATTTATGAGCATCTTCTCTAACGTTCTAAAATTAAATTGTCTCCAGAGTTTTGACATATTTTCCAATATCAGGAGAATAAAAATCTACCCCTACAGGTGTTTTTTGAGAATCTCCAATAACCTCAAACTTCATGTTTTGCTTCAGTAATTCTGTGTGTACCATGGAGTAACCAACTGACTGTTTCAAAGAATTCTACAAGCTAAACAACACAAAGAGAATAAATATGAAAAAATATTATATATATATATATATATATATATATATTTGTGGTCGTGGCAATATAGCCGTATATGGAAACATAGCATATGATAACATATCAATATTGGAATTAGTCGGTTGTGGTGTGCCGAAACCGACAGAGGAGTAGGCCTGTAAAAGTGGGCCCACCTTAGTGGGTGTTTATAATAGAGGGAGTGGTGGGTGGGTTGACTCGCCAGACCATTACGGTAATGTGGGAGTGGATTGGCAGCCCTTTTTAAGGGAAACCAAGCCCCTCCCACAACTACAGGCCAAGCCTTTTAATTTGTGGTCGTGGCAATATAGCCGTATATGGAAACATAGCATATGATAACATATCAATATTGGAATTAGTCGGTTGTGGTGTGCCGAAACCGACAGAGGAGTAGGCCTGTAAAAGTGGGCAAAAATAAATTATCATAAGACGTAATACGTTGACCAAAACTTTATTTAGATAAATCACAGAAAGCTAGTCTTAATTCTTTAACAGGATTGGGTATGTAAAGAGTATAAGCGGAAGATTTCCAGCGTCCCATTGTTTTGATGATGTGCGGAGGAATGTGGTTAGCAGAAGCTGTAGATGCTGCTCCTATTCGGAAAGAATGACCCGAAAATTGACTAGGGTTCAAGCCGAGTCTAGTCAACAGCAGTCTTACATAGAGCATAAACTTTGCTGTAGTTAGAACGTTACCGTGCAGTTCTAGCAAAGGTTGTAATGGTTGTTTGTGGAGTGATAGTAGATAATTGTCAAAATTTTGTACAGGGCACCATTTGTTATGAGTAGGGTATAAGGGGATCGTAACGGTATGACCTATGGCACTGGTTTTTGAGTGTTTTAGCATGAGTAGGTAATGGTCGTTTTGTTTCGCTAAGTCCATAATTCTTAGGTAATCAGGGGACGTGATAGTCCTAGTTGTGAATTCGTTGGGACGGAGGAATCCATAAAAAGCAAGATATATGGCTGATTTTATTACCGTGTTTGTCCTGGGCTCAAAAGGAGAGGAATCTAACAAGTTTACTAGTGCATGAAATATGTGGTTATCAATAGGTAGTCGTTTCTCGGGGATATGTGTATCTAATTTCTTAATGCCTCTAAGAACTGTCTTGATTTGATATGAGGACAGGAAACTCGTGGCGTTGGGTTGTTGAATTAGCATGTGGTGTTGAATTCCCGTAAGGTATAGTTTTATAGTGTTAAATGATAGTTTAAGGTTGATGTGGCAAAAAGAAGTGAAACCCAATATTGTTTCTATCGTGAACATATCGTGAATGTGAAATTCAGTGATGAATTTTTTGAATATGTGAAAAGCTCTGTCGTAAGTGTTTCTAGTGTTTACAGAGAGTGCCATGTGAGAAATGTGACGTGCGTGATTTAACAAAGCTTTTAATCCATTATCATGTCTGTGAAAAGTGGGACTGGAGTTGCCCGTCTGGAGGCGGTGGGTAGTGTCGTGAAGAATTCCTGAAAACGAAATCGAGACAAGTGATCAGCACTGATGTTTGTGCACCCTGGAACGTGAATACATGTTAGAAAGAATTGACAAGTGGCTGCTATCCATGTGAGTCGTCTCAATAGCCTCATAATTACCAGGGATGATGACCGGCCTTTATTGACAATATGGCAAGTAGCCATATTATCAGAATAGCACCACACCGTGTGACCGGACCACTGGCGGCCCCAGGTAACGGCCGCAGCCACGATGGGGTACAATTCGAATAAAGCTGAGGTCTCTGTGAATTTTGTGAGTGATTTGACCTCAGTTGGCCATGGCCCCACGAGCCATAGGTCACCCCATATGGCTGCAAACCCTGTGTTTGCTGCAGCGTCTGTCCATATTGTAGGTGAAGTGTCTGAGTGAGATGGTATAAACATGGCACGCCCATTCCAAGAAGTGAGGAAAATCCTCCACATGCTCAAATCGGATGTCGCATGTTTGTCTAGTGAAATGTAAGATGTGTCTGAGGTGAATTGTGGAAATAGTGATAGCAAATGTGAAATAAATGATCTCCCCTGGGGAATGATTCTCATTGCAAAATTAAGCGATCCCAGCAATGATTGTAGGTCTTTCTTAGTGCAACGACCTTGCTGTAGGTAGTGGTCAATACTTGCCAGGATACGCTCAATTTTCTCATGAGGGAGGCTAGCTTGCATGTGTACTGTGTCTAGTTGTATCCCTAAAAATTGCATCTGGGTGGCGGGCCCCAGGGTCTTGTGTGGGGAGACTGGAACAGAAAGTGACTCAAATAATGCCAACATGTGTTTTAAACTTGTGGGTGGACTTGTGTTGTTCTCAATTGTGAGAAAATCGTCTAAATAGTGAATCACAGAGGGACATTTGTAAACATTTAGCAACAACCAACATAAAGCCTCTGCAAATGTGTTGAAAATACGCGGGCTGCTCTTAGAGCCAAAAGTGAGACGAGTGAAGAAATAGTATAACCCTTCCCATTTAATGCCGTGAAGGTGCCAAAGTGTGGGGTGTATAGGCAGTAGTTTGAAGGCATTCACTACATCCGTTTTGCTTAACCATGCCCCTGTGCCAGCTTTAATGATAGCCCCGATGGCATGGTCGATAGTGGCGTAATGTAGTGAAAACTCTTCAGATGGTATAAGTGAATTTAGGCTAGGGACCGTGGAGGAATGTGGTGCGTAAGTGAGTTTTTCCCTGTGACAATCCCAATGGGATTGGTTCTCCAAGAATTGAAGGGTGGTGAAAGGAATGGACCCAGCAAAAAACCTTGCTTCACCTCAGTTGTGATAAGTTTATGTACCAGCTGTGGGTCGTCCCGTGTGGAAAGTAAGTTGTCACATTCCAGTGTGCCTGTAGGTAAATGTATCAACCCTGTGTGAAATCCCTCCGATAATCCTGTTATGAGATAGTCGCTGAAGTGTCGTGAAGGGTGTAGACGTAGCAAATCGAATAAGCTGAGGTTCACGCATGTGAGGTAGGGTTTTGGGAAAGCTTTATTTGGGCACATTGTCTTGGAATGAGCCCTGAAACAATGTGAACAAACATGCATTAGACTATAGGAACTAAAAGCACAATTGCCAGCATTAAAATTGTTACATACTTGGGATTTCCCTAAGAAGACAATATCTCTTCCTAGTTTGTCTTTCAAACCTTTATTTGATCTTGGGGGGCTAGTTGCTGCTTGGTTTTGTTCTACCTCAGCTGTATTAGGGCAGAAATTTGTGCTGTGGGTTGCTGATGAGCATACTGCACAAGTTGGGGGCCTGAGGCCTGCAAAGTGCCTACAGAATAGCTCAGTGTCCAACTTGCTCCAATTGATGTTTAAGTTGAACTGAGCCAGAGCTGCTGCCACTTTTGCAGAGAAGGAACGATGGTAATCGTAAAACGCTGTACCACCGTATTTGTGTCCCAGATCCACCAACTTGTGCATGTACGTATCCAGCTCGGCTCTTTTCCCTGGGTATACAGTGCAATATACATCCCTATAGATGCCAAACCCTAATACAAATTCTGGGATGTTCAATTTTTTATTCAGGCGAGGGTCTCTAGCTCTAAGGACTACGGAAGTATCCCCACAAGCAAAGGTCCTGTTCTCAAGGACATCCTGGGAGGCAATGAGCAATGAAGCTAGGTTAACGTCCTTGCCTTCCAGAATGTCCTTTTTAAGGTGAGCTGGGACCATGTGTGAAGGATCAATAGATTCTATATCAGCCGTAGCTGCCAGGGTATTACCGGGTAAGGTATTAGCAAGAGGCTGAGTGGTGACCGTTACATTTGTTGTGGACTGAGTAACACTACCGGCCTCCAATTTGTCCAGCCTGTCGCTGATTGTCCCTATGGATGCCATAAGGGACGTCATCATAGCATGAAATGCTGGCATTTGCGATCCGCTAGGGCCTTCCCCTGCCTCGGAGTTGTCAGTGGTAGTGTATAATAGCCTATACAACTCCGCCTTCCTAGCTGTAGCCGGGAAAGGGATGCTGCGTCTTCTTAGTTCAGCTGTAAGACGTGGTATGGTCCACGATCTAAGGGATGCAGGGCTATTCACGTCTGTACCCGGAACAGGGGTGGCAGGCCTAGCGGGTGTGCTAGGTAGTGATAGCTCTTCAGGGATATCAGGCGTTAGTGACATAACTGAAATTATAAATATAAATAGTCAGTCGTATAAAATGTTTTGTGGGTGGGTACTGGTGGGCTAGCTAAATACCAAGCGGTGAAACAATTAAGCTTCTTTTGAGCGTGACAGATGAGACCCTGCTAGTTGCCAAGCGGCTTGAGAGGCACTATCTATGCGTGGGCCCGAGGGGAAGATTGAGGCCACTGAACGTTGTGGCGGGGTGTAGGCCTCTCGGTGTCATTTAAAGCATAAGAAAGATTGGGAGTGACAGGTGAGGCCCTCTCTTTGTATTGATGCGAGGCGGCTAGCTATGATTTGGCCCAAGGGACGTATTACCTCCGAGTGTGAGGTTAGGGATGTTGGCCTCGCGGGACCACTAGCCTATGGATTAAGACCAGAAATATTTTAACTAATTGGGCCACCTAACCTAGGACCAGTACCCCTCAAATATTTTAGGGAATATTGGGTTCTGGCGTAGTACCTGAAAGTGAGTCAGGCTGATCTCTCAATGACGTAACTGTGATATTTGTCGGGTAGTTGACCTGTAGGTATAAGATGATATGTAAATATCTGAAAAATGGGGTGGTAGTTAGGCCAGATCGTGGACCAGAACCTACCCGATAACTGCGGAGGAGATATAACCAAAAGAAACCGGCTCCTTGCTTGTAAAAGCTACCGTTCCAATGATTAAACCTAGGAGAATAAATTATAAATTTACCCTAAAATCATATGTTTATATGGTCATTTATATGAATCATATGACAATGTTACCAACCTATAAAGTATAAATGATACCGATCTCTGGGTCCCCAAAATTTTAATATGAATTCTGGTAAGGAAACCTGTTGGAAGATGACAGAAATCAGGATTGAATTAAGTGTAGCATAATTTAAAGATTTTTTTTTTTTTTTTTATGGTGCTATATCATTATTGACCGGTAGGGGGCGAGATTCCACCTAAGAAGTGGATGCAGGATCTTGTATAATTAGTGAGAAATGCACAAATTTAAGTCGAATGTGATGACAGTATATAATGATTACCTTTGTTTGGTAGAAATCCTAAGTATCTGGCCGAATGCAGCGTTCGTATGAATGCAAAAAAACATGAATTACATAGCTTAGTGGTGAAGTGTAATTAGACAAAAAAGTACCGAATGCCGTTGAATGCGAATGGGGCTCCACCGTGTAAGCCGTGAATACGAAGCGGTTTGCTTTACGGCTGGCCCAACTTACGTTTTTTGGCGGCAGCAGTACCGGGGAAGCTGTGCGGACGACGGTGGCGGCGGGAAAAGAGCCCTGGAGAACCCGGACCACTCAGGAGGGCACCGAACCAGGAGACCACGAGGAAACAGGTAAGAGGAATCCAAGATGGCGGTCTGAACCGGAAGTAACGTTTCAGACTCGCCAGACCATTACGGTAATGTGGGAGTGGATTGGCAGCCCTTTTATAGGGAACCCAAGCCCCTCCCACAACTACAGGCCAAGCCTTTTAATATATATATATGTGTGTGTGTGTGTGTGTGTGTGTATGTATGTATGTATGTATATGTATATATATATATGTATGTATATATGTATGTATATATGTATGTATGTGTATATATATATGTATGTGTATATATATGTATGTATATATGTATGTATGTGTATATATATATGTATGTGTATATATATATGTATGTATATATATATATATATGTATATATGTATATGTAGATAGTTAATACAATGCTAAACAAAAATCTGCACACCAGTCAAGCCATAAGACTTGCTTTTCCCACAGAAATCCCAAATCAGCAGTGATGTTACAACCGCAAAGGATTCTGGGTGGGCATATGCAAATTAGTTTAACAAAGAATCATAATTTTGGCTCATTCCATTTTAAACATGGATTCCTTTTAATTTGTGTTTGCAGTATACAACTGCTTGGAACACAATTTAGGATAAGATGCAAAACCAGTGAACCACTCATGGACAGCTGTTTCATTGTTAACGCAACTCTTCCGCATGAGGTTGGTTACTGGTTTGTTTAGTGAGGCTTGGTAGTGCTTGGGAAGCAAAATCCAAATAGGTTATGGTGGGGAAAAATTGTGATTGAAAACCCCTTCCACCTGAAGTATGTGGATAGTTAATACAATGCCAAACAAAAATCTGCACACCAGTCAAGCCATAAGACTTGCTTTTCCCACAGAAATCCCAAATCAGCAGTGATGTTACAACCGCAAAGGATTCTGGGTGGGCATATGCAAATTAGTTTAACAAAGAATCACATTTTTGCCTCATTCCATTTTAAACATGGATACCTTTTAATTTGTGTTTGCAGTATACAACTGCTTGGAACACAATTTAGGATAAGATGCAAAACCAGTGAACCACTCATGGACAGCTGTTTCGTTGTTCATGCAACTCTTCAGCATGAGGTTGGTTACTGGTTTGCTTAGTGAGGCTTGGTAGTGCTTGGGAAGCAAAATATATATATATATATATATATATATATATATATATATATATATATATATATATATATATATATATATATATATATATATATATATATATAGCCCTGTGTATTATTTATTTACACAGGGCTATTTATGATATGTGATACACAGATAGAGATATATATATATATATATATATATATATATATATATATATATATATAGCTCTGTGTATCATATAATATATCTGTGTATAATATATATGTGTGTGTGTGTGTGTGTATATATATATATATATATATATATATCCCTGTGTATAATATATATATATGTGTGTAACCCTGTGTATAATAATAATAATATAGCCCTGTGTATAATATATAAATATATATAACTCTGTATATAATAAATAGCCCTGGTGTATCATATAGCCCTGTATAATATATATAGCCCTGTGTATTTTATATAATAATATATAGCCATGTGTATCATATATAATAATATATCTATCACTGTGTATAATATATATATATATTCCCTGATCATTATTCATGGCAGCATTTACTCATGGGTTAGCTCCTCCCCTTACAGCAGAAAGGACAGGAAATAGAACTCTGAAACTGGTATAAATAGATCCTCCCCTTCCCATCAGGCAGTCTTTTTTCCTGTCCTTCACAGCAGTTTGGAAGGAGTCTGCTTATGCAGGCCTAGATTTTCTTTTATGCTCACCAGGCAATATTTTTGTAGCCATGCCGGGGTTCAGCCTCTAAGCCCTGAAGACCCAGCAACGCACTATTGTTAATACTGCAAACCTGGGTACCCCCTTTAGTGACAGGGGGTCGGACCCATCCTTAAGGGATGAAAATGGTCCACTACATGCCAGGGTTCAACCTCTTATCCCTGAAGACCCAGCAACAGGCCAGCTTGGGTACCCCCTCAGGGGATGAATGTGATATGCTGCCTACAGGAAGCCAGGCCTGGGTTCAGCCTCTTATCCCTGAAGACCCAGCAACAGCCCAGCTTGGGTACCCACTCAGGGGATGAATGTGATATATTGCCTACATAATACCAGGCCAGGGTTCAGCCTCTTATCCCTGAAGACCCAGCAAACAGCACATCTGTAACAGTTGCCAGCCTGGGTACCTCCTTCAGCAATCAGGAGTCTGACCTATCTCTCTCCCTGAGGGGATGACAGCGGTCCACTGCATACATGAGGCCCAGCTGAGTCTAAGCCTTTATCCTTGAAGACCCAGTAAACAGCACTTCCATAAGGTGACTACCTGGGTATACCTATTCTTGGTGTTCCACCTTGTATGGGGTTGGTTAAACCTCCTCCCACTGGTGATGATGGACTGCATATGGGGTACAGATGGAAGCCTATAGTTTAAACAGTTTAGGCTGTCAGTTGTTCAAATCCCCATTTTGCCCTTGAAACACAGGCCTGCAGCTGTTCAGGTAAGTGCATTAGTAATTAGATTAAAACTAGTATAGGCACCTGGGTCTCTGTTCTTTCAGTCCCTCCCAACGGCTTACATTAGGCTTCCTTCTAACAAATAGGTCACATTTAGGAGGTTTGTGTGGTGAGCATTTAGGTAAGTTATACATGAAAGGATGCTTGGTGCAAAAGAATGCTGATAATGCAAGGAGGCATTGTGCAAAAGAGTGCTTATGATGCAATAACGCATTGTGAAAAAGAGTGCTAATAATGGATATCCTGGCTGTATAAAGTCTGCTGGAATTTCACAGTCCTGAAGAAATATCCAAGGTAAGAGAACTTCCCTGGGTGACTGAAGTACTCACATATATATGATTTTAAAGTCCACACACACACTTGTTCCTATCAAGATATGTGGCATTGATTGCTGTTATCTGTGCATTATCGCAAATAAGCAGGCTTTTCCAGAGAGTGGAGGAATATACTGCATATGAGACCACGGGGCCTCAGTATCCATACATGATCTGGTGGTGGTACAGCATCGGTGTGTTTTCACTTTATGCTCTAACATATGAACAGTGTGTCCAGTAAATGCTCCATGTATGGGTTACTATAAGGACACGGCCTCAGTACATGTATCCGCTATATGCTCTATGTAGGAGTTACTAGGAGGATACAGCCTCAGTATATGTATCCGCTATGTGGTCTATATAAGAGTTACTGTGAGTACACCACCTCAGTATAAGTATCCTGTATATGAGATATATATATGTATGTATGAGTTTCTATTGAGACACAGCCTCAGTATATGTGTCCACTATATGCTCTATGTATGAGTTTCTATGGAGACAGCCTCAGTATATGTATCCATTATAGGCTCTATGTATGAGTTACAATGAGGACGCTGCCTCAGTTTATGTATGCACTATATGCTCTATGTGTGAGTTACTGTGAGGACACAGCCTCAGTATAGGTATCCACTATATGATATATGTATGAGTTACTATGGAGACACAGCCTCTGTTTATGTATGCACTATATGCTCTGTGTATGAATTACTATGAGGACATGGCCTCAGTATATGTGTCCACTATAGGCCATATGTATGAGTTACTATGGAGACACAGCCTCAGTTTATGTATGCGCTTTATGCTCTGTGTATGAGTTACTATGAGGACTCAGCCTCAGTATATGTACACACTATAGGCTCTGTGTATGAGTTACTATGGGGACACAGCCTCAGTATATGTATCCACTATATTGTCTACGTATGAGATGATCGGAAGTCTCGGCTCAGTTTGTGTTCTTTATTTGCTCTGAAAACATAGCCTCAGTATATGTCTCAACATGCTCTATATGTAAGTTGGTGTGGACATTGCTTCAGTGGATCTGTTCACTATATGCTTGATGTATTAGTGGAAACACAATATATGTGAATGATATAAGACACATCTTCTATGAGTCCATTCTAATACAGATGTTTCTTTGAATGTAGGTACTGACGTGATTGTCCTACTTATAATTTAGGAGTTTCCACAAATTCTACGGTTCATACCGATGTCTCTTTTTTCTTTCTTTAACTAATCTGTATATGACTCTTCTTGCCCTTGCCTAGTAAGGTCATTGGTTTATACCTCTCCTGTGCCTGATCATTACTGTATCAATTCATCCACGGTGTGAGGTATTGTTGTGAGTCTGATTTTTGCAATATATATGTATATATATTCATTATTGCAGTGTTTTAATAACACTTATTTCTCTACTAGGCTCTGACTCTTTCTGACAGGCAGGTATTGATTTATTTCCTGTATCCACAGGTAAGTAGTTCACAAGGCAAGAGGAAGCAGTGTGAAT